ATTCTACATCTGAGTTTTCATTGCAGGGAGCATATACTTGAGCTAAAAAAGTGCCTTTTAGAACTTTAAAAATTATGTTCACTTTTCCTTGGCACCGACCCTTTCATGAACAAACCTACAAAATTAGTACCTCCCCAAATATATTTTGTTTTTGTTCTGTTTTCCTCTCTCACACTGGAGCTTTCCAATTGGGATTAAAAAAACAAAAGTCTTGTTTGTTTCTGATCCTAGTCCTAATTCTTTGCTCCTTGTTCCCTCATGGAAGGCAACCCTAAAGATCCTTCTCCTGCTCTTGATTCTTCTCCCGTCAGGTCCTAGGATTAGCATTGGTTGGGTTCTTACTCTGAACCAGGCTCATTGCTTTGGTACTAAGGTGACCAAATTTAACTAATACAATGTAAGTGTCCCCAGTCAGAGGGACTTTGGCTTACTCTTTGCCTAAAATGACACGTGTAAAAGCTAGAACTTGGATTTAGCCAAAATTCAATATCATTTATCAAAAAGTACCATTCCTGCAAATTAACTAAATTTCCCTTTCAAACCTATTTCCTTTCCAGATTATACAAAGGCCTTTGATAACTTTTATTTTTAACTTCATGAAGAGAAAGCCTTTGTATATCAAGACAGTGGATTTATTGGTACTGTTTACTAGAGCATTGTGCACAATTAACAATACGATCTTTTAAATCTAGACAGGTTTTTTGGTGTATGTATGTGTTTAGTTAAAATGCCTTATATAAAATAAAACCCTTAAGCTGGAGAGCAGAGTGCTGCTTTAAAGAGGATGTAGTCACTGGCTCGAGCTGAGGGCAGTCCTCTGGAGAAGGGATAGCTGTGCAGTATTAGCATACAACGAGACAGGGCACCAATAGGGTCAAGGGCCACCACAGCCTAGTCCACATGTCATTTTCACACTCACTGTGGTGCTAAATGCTAGCCCTTTTCAGCCAGCCCTTGTATCCAAAAGGAAGCAATAATTATGTTGTTCATCAGTTACGTCACTTCTTTGCCCTGGGGACAGACACTACTAAGTTAATGGATAGCTCCTGCCAAGAATTAAAGCATGTAGAGTAGAGGGAAAAGTGCCCCGTACCCACTTGCTAACAAAAGTAGTGCATTTTCACATGTTCTGTGAAAATGCTTTTCTTGAAAAAAGTCCAAGAGGACATAACCAGCTCATTTCAATGGAACGACAGCACAGGGAAAAAATCTCCCAAATGTAGATACCTGCTTTACTGGAATCAAACACCAGTCCCCATCTCCTTTTGCCAGCCTATATCTTGTTCATTTAGTTACTGTATTCCACAAATAATATCTACGTGCTTACTATGTGCCGTAGAGAAGGATAGCGAAGAAATGGGAAAAGTACTTATCCCTCTGTAGCATGCATTCTAGTGGGGAGAGCCAGACAAGAAGTAAGAGGAGAGGGATATTAAATGGCAAGATGTCCAAGAATCAAAATGCCCAGAGGCCAGGGGCTGAGGGATTGGTTTGCAATTTGGATAGAATGGTCACGAAAGGCTTCACTGAGATATGTGAACACAGGTTGTGAAAAACGTTGGGATGCAAACATGCGGCTATTTGGGTGAAGACAATTTCAGGCACTGTGTTAAAGGAACAACAAGGAGAGAATCGAAATTAAGGCTAGAGGTAATGGGTGGCAGGCCTACTTAGTCTTCCTAGGTGAGATGGGACACTTTTGGAGACGTTAGAGTTTAAGAGTAATTAGGGAAGTGAGGATAGAAAAGGAATGACAATCAGAAAAGGTCACCGAATCAACTAATTTTTGGCATCAGGGTTCTACCATAAAAATTCAGAGATGGTGGGTAGAGACTGGGGTGGCTGGATTTAAGATTATGGTAAGGGTTGTATTTATTGGTAAGGACAAGCTTGAGGTTATTGATGATGGGAGGCAGGGAAATGTGCAGTGTAGTAAAATGTTCTTCTTGACTTATGCAGCAGTTGATGATAGCCATTTCCCCCTTTATAAGCATTTCCTTCAGCTTGTGCTTTCTAGTTTTTCTGCCTTGTGCCGCTGTTCTTCTTTGTCCAGAACTGAGTTCTTCTTCGCGGCCTGCCCCTTAAGACTCAGTGCTTTGTTCCTTTTCCACCTCAGCTCTTTTCTCAAATATCACAGGGAAACATTAGGGTACTGCCTTATTTTTCCAGACTCGAGTGTTTTCTGCCTTTGACAGGGTGGAAAACTTTTTCTATCACTCGTTTCAGTGGAAAATTCAGTAAAATTGTGAATACCAGCACTTGTGTAAGGCAGGAACTCATCAGAGAAAGAAAGAAAACTTAAATCTTTTTCACTTTAACGAATAATAGAAGAGTTTTCACTGTGTCAAAGGCCAAAAACACCGACTTGGAAGATCTAGGGAAAGAAGGCACTGAGTTCTGGCCTTCCCAGGTCTCATGGTTGTGAGTTTCTTTCTGACAGGCTTGCAGGGTTGTGGAGTTCGTTGAAGCCTTACCCAATTACCATACACTAAAAGCTGGTAGTGTTCTAGAAATCTGTGTGAGAAGGTGGAAAGATAGATGGTTAGGGGGCTGGGAGGTGTATGTGTAAAAGTATCATTTTGAGGATATTTTGTGTGAGACTCTTTGTTTCCATTTGCTCTAATTGTTATTCAGTCTTGTGAGGGAATAGTGGATGTATTTTGTTTGGTCAGACAGACCAAATAATTTGCTCAAGGATCACCTCGTCAGTCTAATAGTACGGAGAGAATTTGAATGTAGGTTGGATTTAAAAGTATGTCCTACTTCGTGCTATGTGTGTAAATGAAGTCACAGCCAAAGAATAGTTACATTTATGACTTGTTAAATATTGCCATAGAACATGTACTAGCTGTCATGAAAGCAAATTACTCTTCTCTATAGCACACATGCTTAATTTGTGTGACAAAATCTATTGCTTTGAGTCAGTTCCAAATTAGGATGACCCCATGTGTTACAGAGTAGATTTACTTCAGATTGCCAGCTCTTTCTTTCATGACACCAGTGGGTGGGTTGGAACTGCTATACGAAGAGGCTTTAGGAAGTTTGTGGGGGAAATTCCACAATCTTTCAATTTCATTTTGGAGCCCCCTCAAAGGTCCTAGAGGAGGAGAGACACATTTGGAGCAAAGCTAGTCAGGACAAGTTAGGACCTTTAAATGAAGGTGTCCATTAGACAGAAGTATGTGATATGAGATACAAAAATCTATGAATTTGCCATAAAATGTTAATTAAAACATTTTATGTTCTTCTCTTATTTATCATTTATATGACACCACTGCATCTAAATATGTAACTTGAGCTCATTGGAACTGGGGAGTCCATACACCCTTACTATGAGACGTCTCACCAAACAAGGAAAGATAGCGTCAGTATATGAGGTGGGGGGAGAATAGAAGACGAGAACTCACTGGTCTTAGAAGGAGCCCTTGTGGTGCAGTAGATTACGTATTGGGCTGATAGCCACACCAGCCACTCTGCAGGAGAAAGATGAGGCAGTCTGTTCTTGTAAAAATCTGTAGCCCCCGAAATGCTGTGGAGCTGTTTGCTCCGTAGGGCCACTGTGAGGAGGGATCCACTTGAGGGTAGTGGGTTTGGGGTTTTTGTTGTTGTTCTTAGGAGACTCCTATGCATCAAATTCACACATATAAATGATTCCAGATTAAAAATCACTGAAGCCAGTTGCACAACATATATTGAATAGTTTGTTATCCAAAGTAAAATGTAAATGAAGCAAAGAAAAACATCATCAGGCCTGGGTTGAGAAGTGGACCCAGAGTGTCATTGAATGCCATACAGAGATTCTGACTTGAAGTTCTGCACCTGCGTTGAAAATCAAGATGCCTCACTGTATTAAAGTGACAAAGACCCTCCAAGCAAGAGTGGAACTAAATATTAAATTTAATTTCAAAGAGCAAGATCTCTGGTGGCCTGTGGTTTTAGAGAGTGTGGTTTCTCAGTGAGTGAGACAGCAGTTTGTTACTGAATTACAGTGGGCCCTCCTAACACCTCATGAAGTGGCGTCCCTGGGAGAAATGTTTAGTCAGCAGAAGGTTCTGTCTGCATCTGTTATGCCACCTTTGGCAAATGGCAGGGCTGACTTTTAGGTTCTCAGTGCAAACACATTTTTACTTTCGCAAGCCCCAATGACATAGTTGAGAATCAAAGCTTTTCACATAACTAGTGAATGTTAGCTCCTTTGACACTGTGTTTACCTTGTATGCAGAGACGCTCAGATACAGAAATTACAAGTTTTATGGTGGGCATCTTTTCCCTGGTCATGCTTTTCCACTTTAATGATGTTACTAGTTTTACCATAATAAAGCAAAATATCTATAATCCTTATGGAAAGATAATTAAATAAAAACAGTGAGACAAAGTAGTTCATAAATATAAATTTTCAACTGTGCATGTATTTCTGGATGAGAATATGACAGAAATGTTATAATTGATAAGTTATAAAATTTGCTAAGCTAAAATGATAAGAATAATTTAATATATAGTCTTTAAACTGTGAAGTCTTATGATTTATCTATGAGACCAAAGAACTTTCTGCAGTTGCATGATAGGTTTTACTTGCTTAGGAACATGCATATTTCTTTTTTTTCCCTTTCTTTTTTAGGAACATGCATATTTCTTGAGAAGGTTCATAAGTTATATAAAACTTTAAACAAGATCTGTAACCAAATATGGTTAAGATTCTTATATACAAATCACTTAAGACACTTCAACAATTTATATGGAATAGTTTATATTTAAAGATGTGCTTTTCTAGAACAGATTGTGATTGCATAAATCATCTTAAAGGTGATTTAACTATTGGGGGGTGGGGTGCTCTAAAATTGATGTGGGGGTGATTGTACAATTTTCTGTGATAGGATTGAATGATTAAACTGTCGAATTTTATGATATGTAAATTACTTGCCAATAAAACTGTTGGGAAAATAAATATGTCCTGGTATTCTAAGCTGTGTAATTTGTTCTTCAAACTTTTTTCTCAACAGATAAAATATTTTGATAAAAGAAGAGACTACTTAAAATTCAAAGAAAAATTTGAAGCAGGACAATTCCAGCCTTCAAAAACAACCACAAATTCCTAGATTGTACCTGAACTTTTCACAAAACTTGACTGCACATACAAAGCTCTGTTAACCTTAAGGACAATAGTAATTACCAGTACTATTTGAATTAAGGTAAATGTCAATACTTGTTCTCTATAAAGGACTCTTAATAACTAAAGTGATCAAATAACAGGATTCATTCAGACTATGAGTAATCGAAATAAATGGTGTAAAATATATTGTGTTTAAAAAGCCTATATTTTAAGAAAAAGCGTATTATAAAAACACAATATTTACTTATTTTATTATTGGGAGATGGGTAGTAGGCGGATAGATATAGATAAATGCTTAAAAAAAAAAGCCCAAAACCAAAAGCATAATTTGTCATTGTGTATCTCTAGCAGCATTTTAATATGCAGAAACAGAAACAAAATCGCTGCCAGGTCCCACTTGTAGCGACCGTGTAGGATAGGGAGGACTGCTGCTGTGGGTTTCTGAGACTGTGACTGACTTTTTAAATAGTTCTATAGGCATATACTTCACATACCATACAATGAATTATTCAGTTACATTAAGAGTTGTGCACGCATCATCACAATTAATTTTAGAACATTTCTTTCTCGTATTCTCTGTTGGCTCACCATTTCCCCCCAAACTCCCCTACCATCTCCCTAGATAATTATTAATCCATTTGCTGTCTCTATAGATTTACCTACTCTGGATTTTAAATACAGAGAATCATTTTAAAAAAAAAAGGCAGCAAACAATGGGACTATTGTTAAGGACTTTTTGCCCATGGGAAGTTCTATTTGGTTTACCCACAGAAGAAGTGCAATCACCTTCCCCGAAACATATATGCTTCTTCATCTGGTTTTGATTTTAATTTACAGTAAGTTTTGCTTATGACTTTTATAGGAGAATGTTGTTTGGGACTGTATTTTGTATGATAGCAACTGAATAGGCTCTTTTCTTCTCCCATCTTGAAAAACTGACCCCATCTGATGTGGGGTCTCCTCTCCTGAAGTGGTTTTTAGATGTACATATAAAGGGGGTGATAGACAAAGTTCATGAACACTAAGCAAGCTTTCTACCTGGTTGCTTGGGACACTGGATTGGAAGATTACATGACCCGAGAAGAGAAGCCTGCCTTCCTCTTGGTGTTTATCCTTATAGTAGTAGACTCATACAATATTTAACCTTTTGTGATTGACTTAACTTCATTCACCACCACTTATCTGTCAGTTTGTCATGCTGTGGTGTGTTGCTGTGATGCTGGAAGCCATGTCACTGGTATGTCAAATGTCAACAGGGCCACTCAAAGTGAACAGGTTTCAACAGAGTTTCTAGACTAAGAACAGACTACAAAGAAGAAATTAACTGCCCAGTTTGGAGGAAGTAGCTACTGAAAGCCTTATACATAGCATGGAAACATTGTCACATACAAAATCCTAATGAATAACAGCAGAACATTGATGGAGATAGTGCTGGGGATGGGCCCCTCAGATCAGAAGGCACTTGAAGCGTGCCTGACAAGCTGCTTTCTCAAAAGTAGTTCACTATAGTAATGTGAATGGAGTGAACCTGTGGGAGTGGAGTCTACAGGATCTTCATCTGCTGATGGGGCGCAACTCAAGGTGAGAAAAAAAAACAGCTGCAAAAATCGAATAATTGGAATGTGGAATGTACTAAGTACGAATCTAAGAAAATTGGAAGTCATCAATAATGAAATGGAAGGCATAAAGATCAATTTACTAGGCATTAGTGAGCTGAAATGGACTGGTATTGGCTATTTTGAATCAGAAAATCATGGTTTACTGTGCCAGAAATGACACAAAAAAAGAGTAATGGCTTTGCATTCATTGTCAAAAAGGACATTTCAAGATCTAATATGAAGTACAATGCTGTCTGTGATAGGATAACATATATCCTTGTAAGGAAATTCAACCAATCCAACTATTTTTCAAATTTATGCACCAACCACGAAAGCTAGTGCTGAAGAAATTGAAGAATCCTCTGAAGGTCTTCAGTTGGAAATGGATCAAAATGTAATCAAGATGCATTTATAATCATTGGCCAATGAAAAAGGTGCTGTTGAGTAGGTTTCAGATGTTGAACATACACAGAACACACGAAACCCAGCCCAGCCCAGTACCGTCCTTCGGCTTGTTCTCCTGTTTGAGTCTTTTGTTGCAGCTACTGTGCAATCCGTGCTGTCAAGGGTTCCTCTTTTCACTGCCCTTTTCCAGGCACTGATAGCTCCTAACAACATGTTCAAAGTATGTGAGAGGAAGTGTCCACATCCTTACCTCTAACGAGCATTCTGGTTGTATGTCTTCCAAGACAGATTTGTTTGTTCTTTTAGCAGTCCATGGTACTTTCAATATTCTTTGCACCATGATTCTTTTTTTTTTTTTTTTTAAGTTAAACACTGATGCTAATTCAAATGTCTATCAAACAGTAAAGAGACAACATACAGACTATCTTTGAGAATGATAAAACCAATATATGAGGGGGCACCCCCCAGAAGTGGAATTGTGCTGGGCTGACCGGAGTTTTGTAGTATGTGAGCATTGAGCAACTTGCTCTAAGTTAGTGCACCCAGTGGCTTCACCTGAGAAAGTTTTCTCTGGGTCACAGTGAACTTTTTTGTAAAAGCAATTCCATTTAAATCTTGTGTGTGTGTGTGTGTGTGTGTGATGGCCCAATTTAAGAGAACAGTATGTGGCTGTGAAATTTTGTGTCCTGCTCAGGAAAAATCCCACAGAAACTGTTGTGATATCGTACACAACTTACATGGACAGTGTTATGGGGAAAACTCAAGTGTACGAGTGGTTTTCTCGTTTCAAAAAAGGTGAAATGTCAATTGATGAATTTCCCCAAAGAACAAAAATGTCGACTCCTACTGCATTTTGACTTGTAGTGCATTTGTAGTTCGTTCCACCAGGTCAGATTGTTAACCAAGCTTTCTATTTTGAGGTTCTGAAAAGGTTGCCTAGCTGTGTGTGACAAAAATGGCCTGATTTGTGGCAGACGGGGGACTGTTTTGCCACCACAACAATGCACCTGCTTATGCAACCATCTCAGCGTGCCAGTTTTTTGGGCAAAAAACAGCATGCCTCTCTTGCCCTACACACCTGACCTTGCTCCGTGAGACTTCATGTTTCTGTGAATGAAGAGGAACATGAAAGGACTGCAATTTGACAATGTAGAAGAGGTGAAGGGAAAAAAACGAGGCTGTCAACCATCCAAACATGAGTTTGAAAAATGTTTCTAAGAGTGGAATAGCAGATTTGGCAAATGTATTAAATGGAGAGTGCTTTGAAGGTGATAAAGTTGTTTTGTTAAAAAAAAAAAACACATAGCTTTGGGGGGAAAATTGTGTGTGGTGGGTTGGGTAGTCATAAAACATAGAAAACTTCTACAACTTAATAACAAAAAGGCAAATGATGCGACTAAAAACTGGACAATAACCCTTTACCAAAGAGACTATTAATGACCAACAGACACATAAAAAGGTGTTCAATAATCATTGGGCTACAGACAAATACAAATCAGAACCACACGAAGATTTCTCCCGCACTAGGATGAATGCTCCTTAGCAGGGTGCACTTTAGAAGTAAGAATGGCAAGCCTTTGTCTCGTGTACTCTGGATGTGTCAAGAGTGATGGGGCAGCCTCTGGTGATGGACATTCATGCTTGGGGAAACAGAGTCGGTGAGAAGACCTTCAATGAGACGGGTTGATCAAGTGACTGGGTGCAGACAGTAACCAGGTAGTGTTTTGTTCTGTGTGTGCAGTGTCGCAATGAATGGGAATTGACGCCAGAGTATCTAACAACAGGATGGCTAACATCTTTTCTTTTTTTTAAAAGAAAATAACAGGTGTTAGAGGGGTTGCAGAGGAACAGGAAGCCACTGTTGGAGGGAATGCAAAATGGAATAGTCACTTTTGAAAACCGTCTGATGGTTCTTTAGATAAAGCGAGGTAGGGAAGCCATAAAAAAAAAGTTTTAAAAGAGGAGCTCATCTCAAGGGCTCAGTAGAAAGTAAATGTCTAGAAAAGAACGATGGCAATATATGTATGAATATGTGGGATACAATTGATGTGTGGTTTGTAACGAGTTGTAAGAGCCCCCAATAAAATGATTAAAAAAAAAAAAGTTTTTAAGCCCCGACATTGAATCGATGTGGACTCATAGCGACCCTATAAGACAAGGTAGAACTTCCCCTCTGTAGGTTTCCGAGGTAACTGTTAACGGGAGTAGAAAACCCCATCTTTCTCCTGAGGAGCGGCTGTGCATCATGATTCTAATGCATCAATTCTTCGGACTTCCTTATTCAATGCCCAACTTCGCATGCATATGAGGCAATTGAAACTACTATGGCTTGGGCCAGGAGCACCTTAGTCCTCAAAGTAACATCCTTGCTTTACAATACTTTAAAGAAGTCTTGTGTAGCAGTTACCTGATGTGATGTGCCCTTTGATCTCTTGACTGCTGTTTCCGTGAGCATTGCCTGTGGATCTAAGCAAGATGAAATCCTTGACAACTTCAATCCTTTCTCTATCAAGATGTTATCTACTGATCCAATTGTGAGGATTTTGGTTTTCTTTTCATTGAGCTGTAATCCATTCTGAAGGCTGCAATCCTTGATCTTCATTAGCAAGTACATTATTTCAAGTTCTCTTCACTTTTGGCAAGCAAGGTTGTGTCATCTGCATACTACAGGTTATGAATAAGTCTACCTCTACTCCTATTCTGCATTCTTCATATAATCCAGTCTCTCTGATTATCTGTTCAGCATAAAGATTGAATAAGTATGGTGACAGGATGTGACCTGGCACTTTTTCTGGTTTTAAACCATATAGTATTCTCTTGTTCTGTTCATACAACTGCCTCTTGATCCATGTACAGTTTCTACATGAACATAATGAAGTGTCCTGGGATTCCCATCATTCTCAAGACAGTCGGTAGTTTGTACAATCCACACATTAGAATGCCTTAGTATAATTTTTAAAAAGTATAAGTAAGCATCTTTTTGGTATTCTCTGCTTTCAGCCAAGATCCATTTGACATTAGCAATAATTTCCCTTGTTCCACGTCTTCTGACTCTCTGGCATTTCTCTGTCACTGTACTGCTACAACTATCAGAAAACTTTTGCATGTGATATTAATGATATAATTTGCACATTCTGTTGGGTCACTGTTCTTTGTAATACGTACAAATATGGATTTCTTCCA